CCCACGGCTGAAAGGGCGGGCATGTTTAGTGGGACGGGGATTCGAACCCGCGACCCTCAGATTGCGAGTCGAGCGCCCTAACCACTTGGCCATGCCGGGCCCTCTCTGTTTGGATAAAAAACCTGTTGTCAATGATTTAGGCGAGCATTTAGTAAATCAAGTCCCTAAAACTTTCACGAGAATCTAGGGTTAAGCTGTGGTGTAAAAACAAATTACGGCAACTGAGCATAAGAGACAAAAAATTACGGCAACTGAGCATAAGAGACATTATCAGTTATATTCAAAATTATCAAAACTTTTAAACAGAAACAGCATTTAAAAAATAATAATCAAATTATTATTCTAAAAACTAAAGAAACGTTGTTGCACTTTGCAATGTGCAATAGAAAATAATCGCGTACAAATTTCGACGTCATCAAGACCTGTGTATAAGTGCTTCACGTCATCATCAGCCCAAGTCTGCTTCGAACGAACAAGTCTTCTCGAACCTGTGATTATAGTTTTCAAGTAAATGATAATATAACCACAAAGTTCAGAAGAGTTTTACCTAAAGTTTCAACACCGTAAGATTTGTTTATCTGAGAAGAACTGTTTACAATGGCTATATTTAGGTTTCTTATGAAATAATTAGATATATATTATTTACTTTAAGAGATTTTTTTTATATTCATATTTAACGCCAGGGCTTTTAATGTATAAAATAATAGTATTTTCAGCAGCCCTAAGATTCTCAATTTTTTAATTAGGTTCCCATCAAGTATTCATAATTTATTAAATGTTCCTTAAAATTCCGTAAAATTAAATACATATATATATATATATATATATATCATGTTTCCGCTTGTCTTCAGATGTCAATTTGGTGATGCCGTCAATTTTCACCAAACGCATATAACTGGTAGTTACATGGATGTGGGTGAAGGGGGAAATAATATTGTTTTTGTTTTTAATTATGCACAAAGCTACACGAGGGCTATCTGTGCTCTGCCCACCACGGGTATCGAAACCCGGATTCTAGCGTTGTAAGTCCGCAGACATACCGCTGTGCCACTGGGGGGCGGGAAATAATAAAGACAAAACTGGTGTTTTCGTCATAATATAATTTCGGAAAAACACAAGATATATGTTTAATACATCATCCTAAATTTATTCCTAAAAAAACAAAAAACAAATATATTGACGGAATGCCTGGAATAAGGCTGAATGAAGTTTGAGATATAATATAACACACGCCAAATCAATCGACTGCAGCCAGCTACGATACGATCTCAACGAAACAGTCTGGCTGCATATTGTAGTTATTGTTGAAAGGTGGATAACCAACTGTAACACCTAAAATAAAGATTAAAGCTTTGTTTTTGACCTCCCCATCCCTGATGGATCGGCGGTAAGTTTGAGGACTTACAACGTTAAAATCCTGGGCTCGATTCCTCGCGGTAGACTGAGCTCAGATAGTCCATTATGTAGCTTTGCGCTAAAACAACATAATCTCTGTTCGCCAGCAGGATATAACTCTCAGGTGTGTATCAGATACAGTATCTCACATCTTCGTAAATTATATGTTGATAAATGATACATTTTTGCTTACAAAGGCTTATGTACCGAGAGTTGTCGAACGTTACGAGACTAGGTACATAAATTTTACGAAAATATTTCTAAACAGTCTTAATTTTTGCCATCGCCATGAAAACGAAACAACATACCTGGACAATATTCAGAGGTCTTACACGTGAAAAGTCATATCTGCTTAATTCTTGTGTAGCTAATTAATCACGTAAATAATCAGGTAAGCAAAAAAATGTCTCTTTCAATCATTCTTTTGTAAATAATTATCTAATAAGAGTGTTTTACAATAAATCTCTTTAGGAAATGTTTGTAAATTTAATGAAAAGAAAGACGATGATGTTTGAGAGATAACGTTTTTTGATAACTTGTCGGTAAAAGAACTGAGAGCTAATTACGTGCATTGTAACAAGTGTAGCTCTTACTACTGGTATTTGATCTATGTATACAGGTATTTGATCTATGTATACAGGTATTTGATCTATGTATACAGGTATTTGATCTATGTATACAGGTATTTGATCTATGTATACAGGTATTTGATCACTGTATACTGGTATTTGATCTATGTATACAGGTATTTGATCTATGTATACAGGTATTTGATCTATGTATACTGGTATTTGATCTATGTATACTGGTATTTGATATATGTATACTGATATTTGATCAATGTATACTGGTATTTGATCTATGTATACTGGTATTTGATCTATGTATACTGGTATTTGATCTATGTATACTGGTATTTGATCTATGTATACAGTTACATGGAGTGTAATGTTAATTGTATATAGCATATCATCTCTTAAATGTTGAAAGTGAAGGAAGGGTGCCGATAAGCACCTACACTCAAGTCATTCTGTCACATTCTGCACTTATCATTATTGCTTGACGCACGCCATGCACACGGTTTTTCCATTAGCTGAACTTAAGTACTGTCGGAGTGAATGTCTTTCAGTTTCCAAATCTTGAACACCTATGATATATCTGGCAAATATAAGATATTGCTTTCTGGCATCATTTCTCAAAAACAACAAACAAATATCGTTTATTTATTTCTAACTTTAGTGGAGAAAATTGCTTTAAAGTATATTAACCCTAATATCTTTTTGCTACTATTTTCTGACATTTTTCTTTCTTGATCAATCTAAATGAATTTAGTATAATGGACAAGATCTAATATATATATATATATATAATTATTCCATGATAATCATATTAATCTTGAGCTTGTATGTTATTGTTTATGCTCTGAAAAAATAAAGATATCACTTATTAAAGCTTGTTAGTGTCAAAATTGGGTTTGTTAACAGGTGAAAGAATATTTCCAGGGGAAGTTTATAGGAATTCAAGAAACGTGTTAAGTGGATTTGTTAACAGGTAAAAGAACATTTCCAAGGGAAGTTTATAGGAATTCAAGAAACGTGTTAAGTGGATTTGTTAACAGGTAAAAGAACATTTCCAAGGGAAGTTTATAGGAATTCAAGAAACGTGTTAAGTGGATTTGTTAACAGGTAAAAGAACATTTCCAAGGGAAGTTTATAGAAATTCAAGAAACGTGTTAAGTGGATTTGTTAACAGGTAAAAGAACATTTCCAAGGGAAGTTTATAGGAATTCAAGAAACGTGTTGGAACGAGTTGATGCCATATCAGTCTCTTCAGCATCAACTTAACGAGTCTCTATACTCAGTCTGCAATAGCATGGATACCTGTTTCATTCTCCAGCTACTTGAGGTATGCGACTGTTGAATGGATATGTCGAAATGAACAGCTTATGTATGTGTAACTTGTGTCGCTTTTCCAGAAAGAGATCCTTCTTGATTATATTGTGTACTGTTGCCTGGGGCACATGGACTACCTTTACCACAGATCTTTATGTGTGTGGATTCTCACCTGTTACAAGACACTGCATTTTTCTTACCATAAGTGATTTACGACTTCTTGTAGATCTCTCTCTTGATGGTCCTGGTGTTCCAAGTTGATCCCATGCAATTAAGAGCAAATGATATTTCCGTCTTGCAACTTCCTTAGTCTAAACACGCCTTTTTCATACGAGTGTACGGAAACGACTGTCACATACCTTTCCCAAAAGACATCACACAACTTACAAATAATGTAAAAATGTAATTCTGATACATTCCATCCTACTGTGACTTCATATCTGCCGTGGTTGTCACGTGACTTTCTAATTTGCATATCGTTTTAGCATAACGTACTGAATCCTCCGTATTTTAGAAAAGTGAGAGCATGTTTGTGTGAAGTAATTATAAAAATAAATTCGAAACGGTATTGCAATTTTTAACATCATCTGTAAACTTCAACTAAAACAAATCATGGAAAAAATTTATCGTTCGTTATCTGTTTTAAATTATTTAATTATAAAAACACAAATCATCTATATAACTTTTCCTGGGATCTCAGCTCTTCTGAATTTGTTAGCTGACAACACTAGATGTAGTTATCATCTAAGATCAGGCCTCATCAGCCTGAAGAAAAGATAAATAAAAGAATCCCGTTAAAAATCTTCTTAATTACATATTTTTGCGTAATTTGTCAATGATCCCTATGTTTGATCTACACCAAGAAGTAAACTTTAATTTGTAGTACTTATCACAATATTACTTATGGTGAGCGAATAGCTGAACTTATAAGAACTTCTACAAAAATCTCGTATCTGAGATAGTGAGAGAATTTAATAAAGGCAATCGCTCATGCGTAGAGAACTAAATAAAATACACGAATAAATATCATGTCACAAACTAAAAACAAATTAAATTCCATTTGGCTTAATTATATATATATATATGATTAACTTAAAAACACATAAGATATGAATAATCGACATAATAGTTCTAAGATGGTCAATATTAGGAAATTCGCTTTATGAAGCATATATAGAACACAATAATTGTGAAAACATAAAACTTTGTTGATCGACCAATAATAAAAAGTGTATTTTCTGAAGAAGTATCCAGATGGATTAGCGTCTTTCAACTCTTATCAAAGGGTTTCCTTGACTTGCAATGCTAAAATCCGGGGCTTGATTCCCCGAGGTGGACTCGGCAGATAACCCAATGTTTATTAAATAAAAATAAACAAACAAAATTACCAAGAAGGGTTAAAAAAAACACTAAATAGATGAACATGTACAACATCAGATGGAGTGAGTCTACATAGACAATGTTTATCACAACTTTATTAAAGTATCATTAAAAAGAAGCTATATGAAATATTGAAATTGATATTCGAAAAATCACATTTTTTCCCCTAAATAATAGCTAATCATGGGTCGAATTATCAATATGTAAAAATATAATTACGTTAAATATGTTTATCAAAACTATTACGGAACAAAACGGATAAGGTAAGCTTTAAGGGTATAACGCAGAATATTGTGGATCGATCCCTGCAGTGTTTCACAGCACAATTAGTCCAAACCTTTTATGCAATGAATCTAATAACAACTCTATCTAATGTCTATACCGACAACCACAAATTAATTGTGCAGGTTTCATTTCTTGTTTAAGGAACAAGTTATCATCAAAATTAAAAGTAAAATATAAGAAAATCTGCACAAATTTGAGGAACAAGTTATAATCAAAATTAAAATTAAAATATAAAAAATCTGCACAAATTTGAGGAACAAGTTATCGTCAAATTTAAAAGTAAAATATAAGAAAATCTGCACAAATTTGAGGAACAAGTTATCGTCAAATTTAAAAGTAAAATATAAGAAAATCTGCACAAATTTGAGGAACAGTTTATAATCAAAATTAAAAGTAAAATATAAGAAAATGTGTACAAACTTGAGGAACGGGTTATAATCAAAATTAAAATATAAGAAAATCTGCACAAACTTGAGGAACAAGTTACCATCAAATTTAAACATTTGCGAGTAGTGGTAGTGACAATGAACATAACAATTATCAAATAAGACCTTATGAGTGAAAGTTAAGAATAAGTTGATAATATTTCTACCACGTCATACATGCTACATCCATTGCCGGTGAGGCCGTTCGCCCAATACCAGGGCTCGTGATTCGGAATTAATTTATACTGTATTGTTGAATATTATGAAGTCATTGTTGCTGTTGATGTTAGCTTGTATATGAATATAAGTGTTCATGTAGTTAAATAGAGTTTACGTTAGTTTTATGTTTGATACTTTGTCATGTAATTATCATTCTTAACTTTGTTTAACGCAAACTGGAGTTTATTATGAGACATTTCTATAAAAGTAAATAAAATCACGACCTATATCTCCAGAATGTAACTTTATTAGCTCAAAGCTCATGCAATCTTATTGTGAGTATTGTTTAAAATTATAGTTAGTTTTTGTGTTAAATTGTGTGGCTTTATTATAATTATTAGCAAGATTTTGAACTGTTTCACTGTTGTTCATTTTGGTCATAAGGGGAACCAGGATCGTTGCTAAGAGATCAGAAGTGATAAGTTCGTCAGAACGAAGGTTTCTATTTCTTTATTAAAGGAAGAAAAAAGGCTTGTGATCAGTTTTCAGTACAAATTCTTCATTAGGTTTCTTTATAATTTTACTAAGATAGGAAGAATTAGCTTAAGAGGAACCGTTTAATTTAATTAATTTTAGCTTCATTTAATTATTTAGTCACAGAAGAGAGTGCTTGCTTTATTTCTAGCCTACTTTCTGAACTTGTAACTTGGTTCTTGTGTTTAATTTTGTGCAAAATGTTTTGTCTAAAATAGCGCATCGTCTGCTTTACACACACACACATATATATATGGCTGGAAGAATTTTAAAAAGAAAACCCTGCTTGCCGCGGCAGAAAGCGTCGTCGTTTTGTGTAAGTTGCGTGTCGATCGGTACCGCAACGGCCGAAATACCGGCGTGACAGACCTTACACTCTTTAAAATCCTACATCACAATGAATAACAAACTGTTAACTGATGATTGATGATAAAATCTATGGCATAATATATTTAATATTTAATGTTATTTATCTATTTGTCACTAGATGCCGCCCCATGTGACTACAAATTACTGTCACTGAAATTAACGCATTTACTGAGGAATATACAATGTGCAACGTTCTGTTAGAAGGATCTTCCAAGAAGCCAAAATTTCGGAAATGTAATAAATATAAATCTGTGATGCAAATACTTTAAAGAATATACTATTTATATTTTCAAACCAATATAATTTAAGACTATAACTCTCTAGAGAGCGGGTGTTTATGACATGTTCAAGAAAACACTTTCGCTAGAGTTTTGATATCTTAAACTATTGTATATTTATAATCAAATACCAAGCCACGCTTGCTCTACATGTCCTAAGATCAATTGCGTTTTCATTGTGTATTATTCTTCATTTTTATACCGCCAGTGGTCGCTAGTTCTGTTTACATTGTTGTTTAATGACAATAATCGTAATATTCTATAAGGGAACATACATAATATCCCCAAGAAAACAATTTATTTATTGACTGCAAGTTCAATTCTAAGTTTTTTTTCAGGCGAGAAACTACGTTGTCTATCTGTTGAAGGGCTCTGGCCAATAAACCAAGTGTTTCTTTTGTTTGTAATTAATCACAATAGCTGCTAGATGGTGTATATACCAGTGTTTGATCATTAATTAGGCCAATAGTTGATCCTAAAACTAATGTTTGTAGTTAAGCATGAAACTATACAATGGATTATCTGTGCCCTGCCCAACACGGGTATCGAAACCCGGTTTCTAGCGTTGTAAGTCCAAATGTTTCTGCCAGAATGGAATTAAAACTGTGATATAACTGTTAGAAAACGGTTATTTTAAAGATTTTTCGATCAATCAACTAGTTTAAAAAGTTTGGGGAAGATTCTTTAGAATACCCATTTACATGACTTTTCTTTATTAGGCCCCCCAGTGGCACAGCGGATATGGGCAGAGCATAGATAGCCCATTGTGTAGCTTTGTGCTTAATTACAAACAAACAATTATTTATTATAAAATAAATATGCAAAAGAAATTAAGATGAAAGGAATAGAATTCAATAAAACCTCAGTGATAGTCTTTGATTTCCATTAGACTGTTTTGGAAATAATATAGATCTTACCATAAAAACTCTACAATACGAGATTGAATACCATAGAAGGTTTGGACCTCTCTGTCCCTGTGTCCCGAAGAGATCTTTCGGGAACCCTGTTGGCCTGTCACAGTAACGTCATCAGTCAAATGACCAGTGAGAGATGTGACGTTCTCAGAGTTTGGCATCATTTACGTTAAATCTATCAACGGATGTAAACAAAAAGCAGATGTAAATATACT